TTAACTTAAACAACTTTAAAATAATTTCACCCAATTTCGGCTAATAACAAAAAGTAGTTTGGGCTTATAAAAAAATATTTTTTGCCCAAAGTATTTGGGCAATTTCGGCTACTAATAGAAGCAGTTTCGACCAGAAACCTTAGCCCACAACCTTAGTCAGGATAGTCCAAATATTTGACACACAGCTAGGACTTAATTTGCCAACTGAATTATGGTCAATACTTCTTTTATCTTTTGACACACAGTCTGGATAAAAGATCCCTAGATTGTTTAACCAACTATATCCCAAAGACATCCCCCTGAGATGTATTTCAATAATTAAGGTTATGGTTTCTTACAGTACTCAGCAAAGGTTTCCCTATATCAGTTTATTAATTATTGAAGAATTAATTGTTAATTCACAGGTCAAGATTATTCAAGGTAAATATTTTATGTGTTTTATTCAGTGATAATATTATTGTTACAATGTTATTAGAGTGTTAAGAAGGCAATAATTATTAGATCAATAATTAAGAAGATTGTTATTATGAACATGATAATTCTAAAACCAAGCCCTTTTATACCTCTTAGGGTATTACAAATAACATGACTTTTACTCTATTTTGTCCAATAAAATATGCTTATTGATATTAAACTTCTGTATTACTTGCTTAATAATTAATAATTACTAATGCTAAGTAAATATTTAGGTCAACTGAGCATAGGGATGGGGGAGTTTGATTTGGTTTCATGGAACCAGTTTAAATGGTTTTTGAATAGCATTACACAAACCCTTATTAAAACACCAAGAAAGGCAATGATTTTCAAACTATAGAATTCCTTTTTATTAAATAATAATTTGTGTCACATTTTGAACATGTGTAACTGGTTTGAATGGTTCCAAAAACCAAAAAAAAACCAGGGGTTAATTTCAAAACTGAATTCAAACCATTTGTCAGTGAAACCGCCCCATTCCTAACTGCCCTAACTGAGCAAATACAAAATTATGATTAATAATTCGAAATAAATATTTGTATCAGAACTTTTGATTTTGATCAACATTTGAAATCATCACATTACACAATTGACATAGTCAATAAAAAATTTGTGAAATTTATTTTTTAATTAAAATGACTCAATCTAATAAAGATCCTTGTTCCATTCTTAATTGTAAAAATTCAAACCTTATAGAAAATTTACTATAGTTTAATATATTAATCAAATTATAAAATAATTGGTCTTTCATTTATGTTTTTAGATAGATTATGTTCATGTTGTTAATATTGATGATTTTCATGATATACATGAAAAAAAAAAGAAGACCTGATACTACATCATTATCAACAGTAAAACATTTTGCTAGTTGTGTAACTAAAAAAGTTGAACGTCCTCTAGTATTAGCAATAAATAATGGAATCCATGTACATAATGCTAACAATATTGAAGGAAATAAAATTAAAGGTTATCTTAATACTAAATATAAAGGAATTTTTGATATTAGCTACAGTGTCAGAAAAAGGGAATGGATTTCTAATGATTTAATTCTTTTAACAATAAGGAGCTTCTTACTGTACATGTGTATTGTGATCTTATTAGAGGGAAACATGAAGAAAGATCAATGAATGATGTTTGTATTGTAGGGTCGCAGGAGGGAAATTTACATTCTTTAGAAGATTTCTTCAATGATCACAAATCTTTCTGAATTATCAGTATATCTTCAACAAAATGCCATACCTATTGTTGCTGACAATTATTTTTTTGAAAATTGATCAGTAAATTACTTTAAATAATTTAAATGTGAAAAATTTTGTTCTATTTCTGGGTCCCCTTCATGTTTCCTTGAATTCATGTGAGCAAACAGTCCTTGTTCATCATAAATTTTTTTAAAAAATGCTTCATCATGTTTTTGGTGATAATAAAATATTAGCAAAAAAAACTATGCCTTGGAGGATAAATTTATTGTTAGAGTTAGCTGCTAAAGGCATGGAAAAAATTTCTCAAGTTGTCAAATGTAAATTTGGGAATGCATGCAAAGATGTTGAATATATAATGGCACTTGACCTTCTGGAAAATATAATACCAGCCACTTTAGACATTCATGCAATTCTTTTTTGTTCTGGTAAATTTGAAGAATATCTAAAAACAATATTTAGAATTTGGACATTTGCACTTAGATGGAAAAGAAAAAATTATAACAAAATTCCATTAGAATTTATTTCAGATTACATCTACTGGAAGGAAAATAATCATCCTATGGCAAAAGCATTAGAAAAATACCTTGTTAATTTTAATGAATACTATGTTGAAAATTTCCATAATAAATTACATGCCAATATCAACATAAATCAATCTGTTGAATCTATTATTGATCAAGCATATATAATTGGTAAGTTGTAAACATTTATTCAGCTGAAATTTATATTTTATTTTATTAATATTTTATTAAAAAATTTAGATTCTCATAAATCAGTTTTCATTGATACATTCAAAAAAGCCTACCAGTATCATATGAACCACATCAGATTGAATTTCTCATACAAAAAAATAGTCTTTATTTATTATCCTATTTTAAAACAATATATAATAATAAAGAAAAAATTTATGAAATTCCAGAGAATCTAATTGAGAGACCTTTTAAGAAAAAATTCCCACCATATTATTTAGCATCACTTGAATGTATTGTTGCTAGAAAATGTCTGCCAACGGTTATCATACTACTTGTATACCATCATCTGGAATTTGTGATCATTGCAGGCAAGCTTTATCCAATAGTACAAACAAAGTAATTATCCTAATTTGTGGACATGGTTACCATAACAGATGTTATAATCTTTTAGGAAAGACTTGTAAATGGTGTAAAGAATATTATTGATGAAGATGTTAAATCTTTTTTAAAAAGATTAAATAAAATGAAGAACTTAGTAGTGGTAATAGGAATAAACTCTCATATATATATTTATTTACACTGAATTTTTTGTTTGCTGTGACAATGTTACACCTTCCTGATTTTCCTTAAAATTTCTAATTTTGGTAAAACCTAAAATTTTATTTTGTCACATTTTGTATCCAATAAAATCAAACTTCCACCATGCATAGACTTGAATATCATATATACCAAAAAAGAAAAATGCCACATCTTCCACGTGGCTGAGTTACCATTTTTGGTGACGATCTTTGGGTTTGACCAATCATATTGCGGGTAAAAAAATTATAAAATTGTCGAACCACAATCATGTAAATCGGTCTAAATATGGTAATTTGGGATATTATACCATCTTATTCAGGGATCATTCGGTCACAGGGGCGGTGTTCCAAATCTCGTTCAATTTTAAATTCGTCTAGACCAAAATTGTAATACTGTTAAATTTATCAACAATTTTTAATTATCGGTAAAGAAAAATCCTGATTATTTTTTAACAGGGAATTTTCTAAACAGTGAGAGTATATAAAGGGATAAAATTATGTGGTCAAGATTTGTTGGCCAACTCAAAAATGCTAATCAACAACCTCTTGCCTCATTGTTTGGTACATCAACAACACCACAATCCGCTTCCTCAGCCTCAAGGATACCTACAAAACCTTATATGAGAAGAAAGTCTATCACTGGCTCTTCAAAAGATCCACGACTATTAGAGAGAAGGCGGAAAAGTACTTTGTTAGGGAATTTACCAGAGAATTTTTCAGAGCAAGAGCTTACACCGAAAATGTAAGTTTTTTTAAAAAAATATATAGCTTCATTTCTTATATCAGTCAAGTTGTAAAATACTACAATTGCATCAATCGACCTTTATCCTTGAATTTTTTTGGGTAAGTCAATAATAATTATATCTTTGATTTATATATATCTATGTAATGTTAATTCTAGTTTAAATTTTTATTACAGATGCATTGTAAGAATTGTACAAAAAAAAATTTTGTACTTAATTTTACTGCTTGGCTTTTACTTTTTGTTTGATTTTTCTGTTTTCAATATGGGTGAATGTCTCATAACTTCAGTGAATAATTCGGTTTGATGGTGTAATTAGAATTCCTGCTGAACAATTACAAGATCTACATTCATACTTTGATAAATGGGAGAATTCTACAGTTGACGAGGTAGATTAATATTTACAAAATAAATGATCATTGGTATTATGCTGTTGTTAATAACATAATTGACAATTAATAACTCATATATATAGGAACGTGACATGTTTTTTATTGTAATGTGTAAGCAATTTTCTGATATTTACGCTGAACTTCCAGAATTTATCAAAGAAAGGTATTTATGAATTTATAAAATTATAAATTATATTTTACCTTTATAAATGTTATCTATACATTTTTATTTTATTTATACTTGTTTAGTCCGGAGAATTTAAACAATTTCACCGATGCAGCTTCAAAACAATTGATTTACAATATATGTTGCAATTCAGAAATAAAAGATGATTTGATAAATATTAAGGGTATTATTACAATAATAGCATATAATTATAATTATAATTATGTGATATATCTTTAAATGAAAAATTTTCTCTTCTTATTATTATTATTATACGTTAGAATGTAATGAGGTTATGAAATTATTGACAGACAAAAACCAGCAATTTTATACACTCAAGACAATTAGTATATTGTGTAGAGGCCCAGTACGTGAAATTTCATTATTCTTATATCTTATTATTATTATTAGATTTCTTGTTGATGGAAATTAATAAAATGCTTGTGACTAATTTATTTTAATATTTAAACTAGCGATATTTACTTGAAATAATGATTGAAAATCAACTACCCGAGGCTTTGATAAAAACATTTTATAATTGTCTTCAATTTCTGCCATTAAAAGATTCAAATTTAATTGAAAATGCCGATAACAAAGATTTATCAAAGTCAAAATCACCTTGGATAGTTGTATCAGATATATTAGCCGATATTATTGTTAATTTTGTAACTAATGAAAAAATATTAAATATATTGATTGAAAAAGATTTATTGTTTTTATTAGTAAACATGATATTGTCACCAAATAATGATCTATCAGATGACAATCAACAAAAAAATATATGGCATGATAGGTATTTTTAGATGTTGTATTAGTATATCATCATTTAAGATCAAGATTTTAATGATATTCAGACTTTGCTAACAATAGCAATAACCACATAGATCTCTTGAAATCCTTACCGACCTTTTTGCGTCCACTGTCGTCAATATGAAACTTTTAAAACATTTTCAAAATAAGGATATTTTAGGAAAAATCTTTAAAATTATAAATAACAGTTTAGATCTTGAAAATTTTAAATTCAAAGATACCCAACAATTATTATACGCTTGTTTTTTGCTTGTTGAATTATTGCAGGTTTCTTAGTTTATTTTATTTTATTTATGTTTTCTTAATTTACTACGATTCTAGAGATTTAATTTTGGCTTTTTAATTAAAAGGGAACTTATGACATTTCATCTGTTTTCTTGGAAGAATTTTACAAGATGAACGGTTATGAAGCTTTTTTTTATTTACTTGTATTACCTCCATTTGAAGAATCGAATGTTGAAACTAAAGTAATTATTTTTTAATGATTTAAATAGTTTTACGATTTTCTTCAAATAATCATTATTATTTTTTAACAAAAAAAATATATCTCATAGGATACATTAATAACTATGGTTGAAGATTTAGTTTTTGCTGGTGTATCTGAACTAAAACCTATCATACCACACGGAACACCATACCAACACAGTGGTAGGATTAAAAAAATTCTTAATGATTTATAATGATTTTTTGTCTTTTAAATGAATATTTTTAACATTATAGATTTCGAGTTGCCTACCCCAAATGAAGATGATGGTAGGTTTAGAATTCTAAAAGATTGCAAGTACTTATTTATACATATATTAATTATAACTTTTCAAACGACAATTCATAATTTAAATAATAGGAACGCTTTTTCGTAATGAAAAGGCACTTCAAGTTTTAGCATCAACACTTTTATATCCAGATAATAGTTTGTCACCATTTCAAACAAGGATAGAAATATCAGATTCTATTGATATTCCAGACTTGTTTCGTCAAAAAATAGTTGTTGCAATTGCTGAAATTTTCAAATCAAATTCATTGAATTATTTTCTTACTGAATCCTTAAATATATTACCAACTTTGATTGAAAAACTGGATAATTTTTCTCCAAAAGTTCAGGTATGAAATAATGATTATCATATTAATGTGCATATATATATATGTATTCATTCATTCAAAAAATAAAATAGCCGAATAAAAACATATATTAAGATTATTTTGTATTAATTTTAGAGATCAATTCTAGACCTATTGGTCTTTGTTATGGTTGATTTGAATTATGTGCCTTTCCGAGAACTAGTTGTATTGTCTCTTCATTTTCAAGGACAATCTTTGAAACATACAACTGCAATTGCATGCGAGACTGTGATTTCTTTATTACAATTTGCGTCAAAGTTTAAAGATGTCTTTAGAGAAATAGGACTGTTAAATATGTTATGCAGTCTTCTTCAAGAACTGGCAACCACTTTACAAGATCAATTTGGAAATCCACAATTTATGAAAAGAATATCAATATCACATTTTAATGACTTTATGGAACAGAAAAACAAAATAAAAAATCGTTTTGGATCTGAAGTAATTGAAAATTTTCAATTGATATCAGAATGCTTGGTAGAGCTATTGAAAAATAATAATGCAAATTTGACCTTATTTGGTACTGCGTAAGTACTTGTTATATATTCAAATTTCGACAATAATTTAATTAAATTGATATTAATCTTAATTAAATATATCATAATAGTTATAAAGGCAATTTATTTGACTTACTACATTATGATGAAACTCGTGATGGGGCATTAGGGATTTTTGAAACGTTAGTTGTTCAAAGTTATGTACAATTCAATGCAGAGCCACAAACACCAAAGCAAACTATTTCAAGAATTTCAATATCGTCAATATCTACCATTGATCATTCTTTTCAATTTGGAAGACTTGTAGAAATTGTCCAATCTCTTTCCAGATTCGATTTAAAAATGAAAAAGCATATCTTATGGTCAATGAAGCGTATATTAATCGCGTGTCCTGAAATGAAGGATGTTTTTCGTGAGAATGGCGGCTTTGTGTGTCTTGTTAGTTTATTAGTTGGATTAGAAGATGTCTACAAAAAATTTTCTTTAAACACTTCTGATGGCAAAATGAATAGCAATAATAATAATACTTTAAAAGGACAAAATTACGAACCATGCGAATTTCCAACAAAAATTCAAGCAGTAGATACATTAAAGGCAATTTTTTCACTTTTTGCAGAGGCAATGTCAAGACATGATTTCAATCGAACCTTTTTCGGCAAGACTATTGGATATAAATCAGTAGAAGATGCCATATGCCTCACTGGAATTCTTGAACCTACCGGATCCCCAAATGAATTTTTTGGAATAATTTTTGGATTTGCTCTTGAAGATGATTTTGTTCATGAAATCTTTGTTGAAAGAGAGCCTGAAGATATTCAACAAGTTGCTGATGACAAGTCAAGCCAAATCACTAAATTATTAGGTAACATGACAGAAGAAATAAAAAATCCAGATGTTATAACTACAATTCTTAGGTTACAATCACTTGTAAGGTATAACTCAAAGCTTAATTGTCAAATTTATGATGCGCTATTGGCTCTTGCCTTTGCTAATCGAAGGAACCAGATTATGATGAATCAATATGGTGTGCTTGAGATTGTATTACAACGATTGTACCTTGTTAAAGAAGATGATGAAGATGACGATGAAAATAATAACGAAGACGAAACCCAATTTGATCCGATAGAAAATAAATATCTGACCAAGTTGGCACAAAGATTGATTGAAATGGGTGTTACCACTAAGGAAATACGATTTTTGTTTGAACAATTTAAAAATGGAAATAATTTACCAGAAGAAATCCATATAGATTTACAAGGTTCATTCATGAATGTATTGGATATGGTTCTTTTTGGGGTACAAAGGAGTCGATGGCCACGTTTTATTCAATTTGATATGTCACAATATGGTTATTCTTGTTTTGAAATGAGTAGCCTAACTGATAGGCAATTTCCGCCTACTAATGGTGGTTATACTTTCATGAGTTGGCTTGATATAGAGAATTTTGATTCGAAAGTTGATTTATCACTTTTGGGTTTAAGTGATGATGAAAAAAGATGTTATTTGCATGTTTTTTTTGAGTCAAGCTCCCATAAACTTGTTGTTCAGACTTCTCCTAAACATGCAACTAAATTTGATAGTTATGAATTTCGAACTGGCTGTTGGTATCATATAGCGTTAGTGCATAATAAGTCACGTTTAGGAGCTCCAGCCGCGATGTCTTTGTATGTGGATGGACGATATGTTGAGATGATAAAATGTTCATATCCAACACAGCCTATCACAAATAAATCTATAAGGGTTTTTATTGGAACACCCAAAGATTACGCACAACAATTAGGAAAAGGGTTGGCACGACTAGCTTGGGATCTTGGGCCATGTTATTTATTCGAAGATGATTTGGACGGTGATATTATTAGTGTCTATTACCATCTTGGCCCTCGTTATTGCTCAAATTTCCAAGATTCGCTTGGCCAATTTCAAACCTACCAAACTTCAACTTTGTTAAATATGAGACTTGAAGCCCTAAGTCGTCAGCGCAAAGATACTAGTGTAGAGTTAGAACATTCAGCCATAGTAAATGCTATTCGAGGTAACAATAGTCAAACTCTACCTGAAGAAAAAATTATTTTTGCTTATAATGCAAGTAATGTGCTTGTATGTGGTCAAAATGCTAGTATTCTTGGATCAGGCTTATCTGGAGGAACTTCTCAAGCATTAGTACTCGGAACTGCGAATACAAAAGTTATTTTAAATGCTTCCGTTCCAAAGGTTGAACGTGCTTTAAGAGTTCTTCATGGCGTTGGATATTTGCAAGGCGATCCAGTTACAGCTATTCCTTATGGAATGGATGATTCAATTTGGAAGATTGGAGGCTCCGCTATAGCTTTAAGATTAATAGATCTGGCCGAGGTATAATAACAAAAATAATAAAAATTAGGCCATTTTTTATTTATTATAACCCATATAATTTATTTAAATGTGTATTCTCTTTTTTTTGAAAAAAAGACAACAACAGATCTTTATAAAACTGTTTGCATTCTTATTGAGTTGATTCGATTCAGTTGGAGGAATTCAGAAGATATGGAAAGGATTCATGGTTATGAAATTTTGGCATATTTATTAAAACAAAAACAAGGGCTTTTGACTTTGGATCTTTTGAATTTATTACTTGTTTTTGTTGGATTAAATCCAATCAATTTAACGTGAGCTATTATTTAAATAAATTTTTTTTACAAAATATTATTATTATATATATAAATTTTTTTTGGAGTCATTCATTATCTAAAAATATTTTATTCAAAAACAGGGATTCAGTTATTATTAATCCTCTTGCTTACCGATTCCTATTACTTGATTTTGATTTGTGGAAACATGCTGATGAGAAAGTGCAAAGAGCACACTTGCAACAGTTTGCTACTTTTATTCAATTAAGTCAACATCATCATTTTAATGCTAAACGTCTTAGCAAAATGCGTATCCTTTTTTTTTATTTTAAAGAAAATAAATATATTATCATATTTAAACAAACTTTAATAAATATAAATTCTCAAATCAATTTTACTCTATAGATGTTGTTAAAAAAATGTTGGTGGCTTTGAAAACAAATATTTATTCAAACGATTTATTGACTGATTTTATTAAAACTCTTAAGATAGTAGTTAAATACAACTTCACCACGGAAGTCATAAGATCAATTGCAACTTTTCTTGTTTCAATTTTAAATAAATGTAATTATTTTTTTTTTTAATTCATGTTTTTTTTTGTTTTAAAAATTAACTATTTTTTATATGACCTTTGTTTTTATGGATTAAATGAATAGCTACATCTCGGCGTACTGGGTGCACTACACCTCAAAAAGAACCTTTATTTAAGGTAGAATTATTTAACTCTGATCCAGAAGAAATTTCTAATTGGAAAATGCCATTAAAGTCTATCGTAACTGATGCTAAAACAGTTTTGGTTGAAACGCAACTAAAACAAATTGGTGTAATGGTCATGGAAATGATCACAGAAATTGTCTGTGACAAGCTTAATCCTTTCTATGTCAATAAGTTTGCTACAACAATCACAAACAAATGGTCTTTGCTTTTTTTTGATGTAGATTCAAATCCTCTTTGGGTTGTTTGTGCAGCTAGAATTTTAGCAAGACTTTTTCATTCTCAAGGAATTGCTTACATTTCAAAATTTAAAACTGCTTCAGGAGGATTTATAGTTATGCAAAAGCTTCTTCCTCAATGGTGGAATCTTACACAATTAAATCAAGTATTATTTGCTATGCTTTTTGGTGTAGATATTTGTGATGTTCCGTTTGATGCACCATTTGATCTTTTCACTCTTCTGAATTTGTTTAAAGGCAAAGATGATACAATACATATAGTTTGTCCTGAAGTTTTACCAATCATTTTACTTATTATGAAAGAGGGAATGGATTCGTTCGTTTACTTAAGTTATCAGACTGAAAAAGACACTAAGGCAAAGGGCATCACAAAAGACGATACTGAATTAGAAAAAACTAAAACAGAACCTAAAACTCACAGGCGACGTTCACGATCAATTTCAGGTGAAATCCAAACTAAGAGTGATGAAATAATTCAAGGTATTATCATTATATGAATTAATTTATAGTTGAATTTAATTTTTTAATAATTTCTTTTTTCCTTTTTTTTTTTTTTTTTTTTTTAATAGTCGAGATACCAAATGATCATACGAAAGAAGCTTTATCAAAATTATCCAATATGCAACAAACTCTTATACATTTTTTCACTGACCTATATAATAATTCGCCAGAATTCAATGAATTATGTTATAAAAGTGAAGTTATGGGTGGTTTCGTTGATATTTTATTTCATATAATATGCTCTTGTGATGAAATTTTAGTAGATGACGAATTACATTCAAAGAAACTTGGGCTTACTTTTGATGCAGATGCAGCTTTTGAAAACTATGCAAATATTGGGTCCACAGGGGTACTTCCAGTGCTTACAAGCATCTCACGTCAATCAACAGAAAGTTTTGAAAAAGAGCTTCAAGAAGAATTGAAATCGATTCCATCGAAGAATTCTCATTTGAGTGTTGTTTCTGACATGATTACAATCAGTCCATCTTCATCACCATTTAATCTTAGTCCTGCTCAAAGTGATACAGATGATGAAACTGTAAATTCATATAATATTCCAAAAATGCCACTTAAATCTAAATTCAAGTTTCCTATATATGCTGAAAATAAAAATTCAACGGTGGAAAGCCTTCTTGAGTTTATTGCTTCAATTTGCGTAAATTCTATTATTGAACTAAAGTCCAAAGCCTTAGCTGGGTTAGAAATAGTTTTAAGAGTAAGTCATTATAAATCATTATTGTTTTTCATATATTTGAATGCAAGTTAATCCAAATCTAATCTAATTTATCAGTCTTTTCCTCCATCATATTTAGACAATCAGGTATAAATATTTTAATTGTTATATTTTTCATAGTTTTTATGTATGCTATAATAATAATAATATTCGTTTTCTATTAAAATTCAGATCCAATTTGAAAGTTACATTTTGTCACATATTGCAGGAACTTTAAAAAGTACGCTACAACTCGATATTAATTTATTGGATAATCAAACTGTTATATCGAATGTTTCCAAGTTTGGACAAATAAGCGTGGATGCTATTTACCAAGGTAATTTTGCATATGAGACATGCTATCAAAAAATTTTGATATGTTTAATAACATTTATTTTGCTGTAGGATGGTTTTTAAATGGTCGAAATCAAGTTTATGATGTGATAACCATTGTTCTTGAGGGGATACAACAGAATGAAGATACTAATGGAAGACGGATAAATGATCCATGCATTTCATCTTTATATCGCTCATTAAATCGCCTAATTTTATTCAAGTTATCTGAACTAGATCAAACTTCTAATGATGGCAATATCATTAATGAAATGTTGGAGAAGTTGATTTATAATCAAAAAATCATTTTTGGTCCATATAATCCTGATGTTGATTTTTTGAAGTGTTTGTGTTATTATCTTTATAAGTTTTTATTTTTTGACCATCAAGAAGTAAAAACAAGTACAATGAGTGTATCCTTTATATCACCCTGGACATGAGATATAATTAAATTTAATATAGTAATCATTATATAAACTTCCTTAACTCTTGCTTTTGTTTTTAAGGTTTGGAAACTTTTGATGCTTCAAAAACCTATAGAAATGTCAGGAATTTTAAAAACACGTGTTAAAGGAATAGGTAATTTATTACATAATAATCTTTTTAATTTTAATTTCAAGTATTTAGAGTACTAAGAAATTATTTTGGGTAATATGTATATATGTGTGTGAATTTTAATAATAATTAAAAAGAACATAAAGAATTACTTGAAGGATTTTGGAAACTTTTAGAGATGGTAAGTTCCTGAAATTTTTTTGATCCAATTGATAAATTAAATTATGCTCATTGTGTTTCTAAATTTAACCATAGGATGTTAATTCGTTTTATGAATGGATCGAATCTAAAAAAACTCAATTGGATGTATTATTTTTAGAGAATGTTTATAAAACCTGGGAATCTCATGTTATATTTGAAACAAAAAACAGTAAAGATGCTATTAGGAATTCTCATTCAAAACGAATGAATAAATTGAAAAGAATGCATAAAAAATTTTTATTTGAACAAGATTTCTTTGATCAATATTGTATAAAAACAAAAATGTGGTCAAAACATATTCAAGATATTGAGACAAGTCGATATTATAGGTCAATTCAAGACAATATTGATCATTACAATTATGTTAGAGATGAGTGGATAAAAACATCAGCCGACCTATTTCGAGAAAGAGCGCTATGGGGACCAAAAGCATCTAATAATCATGCAAAATGGAGGTTGGATTTTACAGAAGGTTAGATGTAAATTACGAATTGTAAAATTTTTAAGTTTCTTCTTTTTAATCTTGACGACACGCCTGTTAAATAAATGTCTATAATTATTTTTAGGACGTTGCCGAATGCGTAAAAAGTTAGAACATAACAATGAAGATTTGAAATTGTATTCTTATAAACCAAAAAGTAGCAAATATGAAAATAAATCTCAAGAGGTTTAGTTTATTTTATAAATAATTATTTTCTATTTATTTATATACACGTATGGATATTGACTTTTTTCCTTTTTTTTTAAAAAAAAAGAATGTCAATGAAGTCTCTGGCAACTCAATAATGAATAGTCCCAATAAATCATCGACAAGTAAGTGTATTAATTTATTTAGAATTAATGTTTGCTTAATTTAACATTTAAATAAGATTTTTTCTTTATATTATTATATAGATTTGGAAGTTCCCAGTATACGTAATAAGAGAGGTATTTATTAAATTTTTTTATAAATTTTCTTCAAAAAAAAAAAATCTATATTTAAACAATCATTTGATTTAAAAATTTATTTTACGTTAGCAAAATCACCAGAGCGTCAAATGACTCTTACACCTGCAAGTGAAGTGGAGGTTCCTGTAGATGGTGTAGAATCTGTTGACAATAGTGAGAATTTTATGAAATTTGGGCTAACCTTTATCAATTGATAAAATTGTTAACTTTTTTAAAAAAACAGGTTATACAGGATCTCAGGCTGAAATTGATGAAGAAACAGCTTTTGAGGAAGACAAAAATCGTAAAGTTTTAAGATCATTGGAACATAATGATGCAGTTTTAGATATATTTAACATTAGCCGAATTAATGGCTTAGACGCATGTGGCAAGTGTTTGTTTGTTAACAGAATGAAATCAACTTATACGCTGATAATGAAATAATTTTTCTCTTATTAATTTTCCTTTTAATGAAAATAGAGGGTCTTTTACTTTTATGCAAGCAAAATTTATATTTAATTGATAATTATTTTCAAAGGTCAGACGGGGAGATTGTGGATATTTGGGATGCGCCTATTAAAGTAATAATGATTTTTAATATTATATTCATTCATTTATTTAGAATTGGTTTAATACTAGTCACAAAATTGTTTTTTTATAAAACTTAAGGAAAGGGATCAATATGTACAAATGCTTGCATCACATGCAGGTTATGGTAGTAATCCAACAGCAAATCCTAAACCAAAAAAACACAAAAGTCGAAAATGGTATTTGTTCTATTTTAGTACAAATATAATTTCAGGCATGAATTATTTACATAAAAATTTTTTTTAAAAAATAAGGGCATTTGACGATATTAAAGAAGTGCATAAAAGAAAATTTCTATTTAGGTATTTTAATAATTGATTATATAATAAAATTTATTTTTTATTTAATTAAATGTTTTCTTTTTTATTTACTTTTTAAAAAAATATATAGAGATGTTGCGTTAGAAATTTTTTTTGCGGATGGAAGGAACTATTTAATAACATTTTTTTTGAAAGAAAGAGATATTGCATATAATAAACTTGTGGCAAGAGCTACGTTTTCGATTAGTGGTTCTGAATCTGTAATAGGAACAACAGGAAATCTTGATGTTGGGTCACCTGCAACTCCTTTAATAAGCCCACCATCTGCCTTGTCATTCAAGTTACCTAGTTTCTTTGCAAACTCTTCTCTAGCAGAGTTAACTTCAAGGTGGGAAAAAAGAGAGATTTCTAATTTTCAGTATTTAATGCACTTAAATACTATAGCTGGAAGATCTTATAATGGTGAGCACATTTACCTTGTTCGACAATTTTGCAAAAAGCAAACGCTCATTAGTAACTTTTTTTACATAGATCTTACCCAATATCCTGTTTTCCCCTGGATCCTTGCTGATTACACTAGTGAAGAAGTGAGTTTCAGATATATATATATATACTATAATAATTAATTATTGTATTTTATGAGATTGTTAATATAGATAATAATAAATTATATAGTTGGATTTAACAAGCCCTGAAACATTCCGTGATTTATCAAAACCGATGGGTGCTCAATCCATGGAAAGAAAAAGTAATTATATTACAATCCTCTGAAAGCAGTAAATTGTGGATTAAAATTTTCATTTATTATTATTATTATTGTTACTATTATTATTTAGAGGAATTTCAAATTCGATATCGTTCATTTGACCCTACTGCAAACGCGACAACTCCAGCATTTCATTATGGAACACATTATTCATCTGCAATGATTGTATGCTCATATTTAATTAGACTTGAGCCATTTACTCAACAATATTTAAAGCTTCAGGTATATTATATTATTTATATATTATTTAGAACCATTTTTTACGCATAATCGAGATATTATATGCAAAATAATAAAGTTGCTTTAACATAATCAAGGGTGGGCATTTTGACCACGCTGATAGGTTATTTCATTCAATTTCCAAAGCATGGTCGTCTGCAACTCGGGATAACATGAGTGATGTTAAAGAATTGATCCCAGAATTTTTTTATCTTCCCGATTTTTTGGAGAATACAAATAAATTCAATTTTGGTTTGTTTGTAAATTTAATTTTTTATATTTCTTTTAACGTTATTTTAACACGTTTTATTCATTTTACAGGTGTTAAACAAGCAACTGGTGAAGTTATTGATTCTGTGATCCTTCCACCATGGGCGGATTGTGATCCTAAAATTTTTATACATAAACACCGTCAGGTTAGTTCTTACACTATTCAATAAATACTTCAATTTTCAACAATATCCTTAATGCTTGAATTATTTTAGGCTCTTGAATGTGAATATGTTAGTACACATATTCATGAATGGATAGATTTAGTATTTGGATACAAACAGCAAGGACCTGCGGCTGTTGAAGCTGTTAATGTATTTCATCATCTTTCATATGAAGGCGCAATAGGTAATTCATGAATTATTTATGAAATAATCAATTATTTTTAAAAAAAAAAGATTTTCAACAGCAATAATAAACAATAATTAAATTTGGGTGAGGAAGATTTGGACTCAATAACTGATCCTGTTGAGCGTTCAGCAACAACTGGAATTATCCATAATTTTGGCCAAACACCACGTCAGTTATTTGTCAAACCTCATCCAGCAAGGCAAACTCTGACTAACGACCCGATTATGTGTAATGGACTTTATAAATTCCAGGATAATGTTGAAAAATTAATTCAATCCATGTATCCACTTCAAGGTACTTTTACTACAAATTTTATTCACAATTTCATCTTCATGACAAATTTTAAATGATCAAAAATAATTTTGCTCTTCAGATATTCGATTACAAGTCCGTGAAATGCGTCTATCAAATGAACGTTTGATTGTTGTAAGCACACAAAAGGTATTAGTTCCGCCAAACTACACACATTACGTCGAATGGGGATATGCTGATAATAGTCTTCGACTTCACCAAACTGACACAAGAAAGGTACGATCAATTATTTTATTTTGTCTTATTGATGCCTTACCATCTATTCATATATTTTTCGTTATTTAATATTTATTCGTATTCTAGTTAATAGGACTATATGAAAATCTTCATTTAGAGACTATAAGTTGTGCTTGTTTTGCTGATGGAAGGACATTTATAACCGGTGGTACTGATGCGGTATGATATATTGAATCTATTAATGATCATTGTAATTTTTTAAAATTTATTAAAAAAAATAGCTTTTTTTTGCAGGTTATTTGTATTTGGAGGCTTAAATGGTTAACAAAAGCACCAGAATTTCGATTTATGGAGTGTCTAAGAGGGCATTCAGCAAAGATAAACTGCGTAGCAGTTTCAAGGTCTTATAGTATTATTGTCAGTGGTTCAGATGTAAGTAAATTATAACATAAATTTTTAAATAAATAATATCTATATCTATTTAATTTAATAATTGATTTTGTAGGATATGAGTTGTATAATATGGGATTTAAACAGAATGAAATATATCAGGCAATTAAAAAATCATGAAATAGGAGTTCAGGTAGTAACCATTTAAGTGATTGATTACATTTATAAGTGTGATTATTTACTAAATATATTTTTTTTTAAAAAAATAGTTTGTCGCAATAAATGATACAACAGTAAGAAAATTTATTATTAAATTTAAACAAAATTTAATGACTATATTGAATAATTGAATAATATAAATATCCTTATTGTTTTAAACTTGATATTTAAAGGGTGATATTGTTACATGTAGTGGTTCGGTTATTCGTATATGGACTATCAATGGTGATCTTTATGTAGAAAAAAGCATATCACAATTTGCAGATCCTATTCAGTGTTGTATATTTTATGAGGTGAGTTTTTTTAATTATTAATGATAAAAATAGGTTGCTTGATAACAAATTTCTATTTTTTGCTTAATAGGGTAAACATAATGAATGGTTGTATGAAGATTTAATTTTCACAGGACATAAAAAAGGTGTAATAAAGGTATTTTAAAGAAAGTTTTCCTTATGGCTTTAATTTTTTTATTTCATGATAATGAATTTATCCGATTTCATATTTAGGTTTGGAATAAGAGTTTGGTGCCAAAAACAACTTCTAAAAATGAGCAAAAAGGTCTGAAATGGGATTTAACTTTGAGGCATCAATTAAAACACGAAAACAGATTTGGGCCATCAACAACTACTAATGTTGCTTCTTTAATGGTTTCTGGGTAATTATCAAGAATAACAACGAATTTCTTATTTATTTAAATATATGCAAATTTTTTGACATTAATTAAATTCCATCAAAAGAACTCAAAGAGTACTTTATAGTGGAGATTCTTCAGGAAAAGTAAATTCTTGGGTGCTGCCTGATGTGAAGATTGAAAATCACTGGATGTCTGATAGTATAACAGACAATTGTTTGACGTGCGGAATGAGATTTGCTGTATTAGGTAAATATAGTAAGCTTTAAAAATTAAGAAAATCAAAAAAATTTATTAATTATTATTATTTCAATCAGAACGGAAAATTCGGTGTAAAACTTGTGGAGGAATTTTTTGTTCAAGTTGTACACAACCTTGGTCAGATAGAAGTTCTAGATTTTGTGAATATTGTTGTGATAAATTGGGAATTTTATTTGAAAAATCTTAATATTATTATTTATTTTTTAACTTTTGATGTTATATATATAATTGTAATAATAATTTTATAAAAGCATTATAAAATTTTATTTATTAATTTATTAATAGATTAAATCAATGTTTCGCTATGTGCAACTAGTTAATGCGAGGTGTCACCATGTATGTGTCCCTCGCCAGACGCTAGATATAATGCTACAATTTATTTAATGGAACATAAACCAACATTAAAACAGCTCTATTTCCATTGAAGTTACATATTTAATGGTCGTATTCGAATATACACGTATTTAAAATTGACATGATGTTAGTAGTGATGTTAGCCGTTTACTACCTAAATTGGTAATTTTATTTCTATAACCAGAAGGTAATGTAAATATCTATTCCCAAATTTAGAAATCATGTATGCAGATTATTAACCGGCTAACATCACTATTATAATTTTTTTACTATTAAAAAAACAATAAATAGATAGAATATTTATGATTTTGAAACGTTTTAATAACATTTCCGTTAAACAAGATTTTATAAATCTCGTTGTTTTTACACGCTATAATGAATCGATATCACAATGTTTCATTAGAGTGTCCTTATAATTTTTGTCGTGAAGATCGTTTTGTCTGAAAGGATTTTTGGCATTCCCTTATTGAAAGCTATGAATAAAAAAATATAATCAATCAGAAATCCAAGGTCCTTCTATGAATCGGTGAACGATCAAAATCGACTTTGCATTAATACTAAAAAAATTTTTTTTTTTATAAAAATTTTACTGTTCATGTAACTTGTTTTTTAATTAGAGCTTTTATTTGAATAAGAACTGTTCAAGTTATTAGAACTATTCGTGAATATTCAAATGAAACAATAAAATAAATAGAATTATAATTAAGATTGAAACAGGGAAATTGCAGCTGCTTTTTTTTTTTTTGCAATGTTTATTAAATCTAGATATACATATTTAATTTGTTTGGGAGAAGCTTCTATTTCATTATTTTCAGCTATGCGTTTGAAGATTTTTAAACATATAATATGGGGCTGTTTCAAAGTTTACGCTAATTAACTTTATTGTATGCCTGTCTATGCTAAAATTTTCATTATTGGATATCAGGGGAAATTTTTGGAATGTTTCATAGTCGGACATTCAATAAATAGTTATTGAATGTAGAAACATGCAATAATACGTCAAAAAAATCGGGAATGGTTAAAATAGTGTCATTTGCGTGACACACTATTTTTTAAACTCGGCAATCATTGATTTCTTTTTCATTATTGCAAATAAAAAAGATTATTAAAGAAAATCAACTCCGCCAATGCCACATGAAAGTTATGTTTATGACTATAATATACAGTTCATGTTATCAATGAAAATAATAATTAGGGTAAAAGCATTTATAAATGACTAGTTGTTATTTATTTTAATGATAATAAATTAATTAATAGTATAGTTAATATGGTTAGATGATGTTGATAACACAAATGATAGTTCTTAATTTATAATTGTTTAAAAATTCATATTTATTCTTATTGATTTTTTTCTTTGAATGTATCTTTTGTACTAAATTGTTTTTTTATTTTATAATTTTTTTTCTAGATGTTTGATCAACCAATGTTTTGCTTTTTTAATGAAATGGATTTTTTTTTGTCTCTAGGGAAATAAGCACTGAATTGTTTATTTGTTTACCTGTTTTAATAAAATTGATTTTATTTTATTGTTTGTTTTTAGTAGAATCAATAGATTAAATAGTAATTTTTTATGCATTTGATGATCTTGACCAGAAAAGGAAAGAAGTTGCATAAAGTACAGATATCAATATGTGCTTTACTAGTAGCCAGAGATTATTTTTTTATAAAATGGCCTAAATATCTTCTTATATATATATGTGGAGCAAATCTATAGTCTTTTACATTATATAGGTAATCATACAAGATTCTTTATCATGTACTTTATACTGTGATAATTTACTTGGGCAAAGTCTCCCTCCCCTCCAATTCAGCACAAGTAAATTTGCTTGCAATTATTGACAGCACACGAATACAACCATCCTGTTCTCCTTTATTTTCATAAAGTGTTTCCTCAAAACATCCCAAAAATTTTGTTTAATCATTGATAGATAATAATCGATTGTTCGAATTGAATGTAACTTAAACTTACTAATTTAAATTATTACATATTCAATATCGTTTTCCAATGCAACAAAAAAATTTTGAGCATCAATTCTCTGAATTCTCTGTGGTGGTTCTGTACAAGAAAACATACAAAAAAAGACAAAAAACATTGTTAAAGTTGCACCAAGTTAATTCTTGTTAAAAATAGTATATTCGGAATTGTATTTGTTTGTATCCAATATATTGGTCCTACCTCAAAAATTTCATTTATTTATTTTTTAATAATTTAAACAAAAAAAGTTTTATTTAAAGTTTTTTATAAAAAATATAAATATGCTTGGAAGACGAAAAACTCCCAAATCTCCAGGTTCAGAAACAACAATGACAAATAACAATAATAGACGATCACCCAAAAATCGTGATAGTATTAGTAGTGCAAGAGATAAAGAAATACAAAAGGGTGGAATTGATCATGTTGGTAACGGAATTACAGAATACACAGCATATGTAAAAAAACGACCAGAACACGAATATACAGCATATGCAGCTAGTCCTTTTTCAAGAGAAGAAGAATTAGTGAGAAAACTCTTAGAATCAGATCAAGCATCTGAAACATCGTCAGTTCAAGGAGTGATTGCAAGAATACATCATCGTCATACTATCAATACAAATAATTATATTACAAATGTTTATCAGAATAAATTTTTTTTAATTTGTTTGATTATATTAATTATGACTGTAATTTATAGTAATAATAGAAATTATAGCGATAACTCGCCATTATCAAAGCTTGAATCCCTTGTAAGATTTCAATTCTGGCAAACGGATGATAATACTTTTAAAATAAAACATATTGTTGAAGGAAAAAATAACGTTTTATCAGGCGATGATAACGATACGGTGCTTACTATAGACGATTTGAAAGCGATTATTATGGACGAGGTTAAAAATTGTATGGGAAATTCAGGCAACATAAAATCCAGTGAACCGAATCCTGATGTTTTTCGTTCATTAATAAATTCAGAAGTTAAGTCAATATGTTTATCAGAACTTAAAAAAGAAACTTCACAAATAAAAAGCGAAACACAAAGATACAGAGGTAGAAAACAAGAAAGACAAGAATTACTTGATTTGATACGAAAAGAAGCTAAAGATATTGTATCACAAGAACTTTTGGTGTTTTCTCAAGATAAATTGAATCGACCAGATTTTGCTCTTCATTCAGGTGGTGCCAAAGTTATCAGTAGATTTACAAGTAAAACTTATGAGCTTTGGCCTGAAAAATGGTATCAAAGATTATTTGCATATGTATCAGGTCAAGGTATATTAAGAGGCAAACCACCAGTGACAGCTATTTCACCAGACATCAATGTTGGACAATGTTGGCCTTTTCCAGGTCAGGACGGTCAAATAGCAGTATTATTGAATAGACGAGTTTATGTCACCGCAGTTACCTATGATCATGTTAGTAAACGTGTCGCGGTGGATGTTCTTAGTGCACCCAAAGAATTTGAAGTTTGGGGAATTATAGATGACGGAACTGGTGGCAGAACCAAGAACACAAAAAATATCGATTATGAAGATGATGGTGAGGGATTGTTTATGGAGTCTAAAGAGGAAGATTGTGGTTTTCGTCAAGACGGAGAATACGTACCAAATAAAAACAACGATGATGATGATAACAATGAATCAAAATCTTTTGTTGATATTGATCAATCATTAGAAAATATCACGACGGGTGATCTTAAACTTGGAACTTCATCGCTCCATTTATTTTTAGGTCGTTACACATATGATATTGAAGGATTACCAATACAAACATTTGAAGTGCCATCAGATCTTCGTAAAGATAATAAACCTGTAAGAGCTGTCATTATGAAAATTAATAGTAATTGGGGCAAACCTGGCTACACTTGTTTGTATAGATTTCGTGTTCATGGGGATCCTGTAGATAAATTAGAAAATTAAGCATACACACAAGTTGTTTATATTTACAATTGTTATATTATTGCATTCATTGTTTTCTTTTTTCTTTTTCTTTTTTTAATTTGCGCATTTTACAATTATTTTAATTATTTTATACTCTTTACGCAGTGTTGTGCAAATGGAACATTGTAACGCTATTGGAATGTTCTAATGTGATTCCAATGTGGTTCCAATGTAGTAGACCCTTCAATTGATAAAATTCAGTTGTGTGACACTATAATTGAATTTCATTGGTTAACTTCATTGGAACCTTTAATTGGAATTTGTTGGAATGTTCCAATGAAAATTGTTGGAAACATAAATGGCACAACACTGCCTTCACGCATATTTCTATATTTTCATTGTAACAAAAATTTATTTGTATGTACTTTTATATATAGATTATTTATTAATTTAGTGCATCATTTTCATTAAAATAAATGATTGCGTTGTATCTTACCCTCGGGAAGCAAAGATCTGCATCCAATTATTATTATTTTTTTTTTTGCTATTAAAAAGAACACCGTTATAATGCTGTCTAATGTTTGCCCATCCACAAGTATGAGTTACTTTTCAAAAGGATTCTCCATTAAACAACTAGAGAAAATTCACATGATTCATTCTAAAATCGCTGAACTAAAGCTTGGAATTCTTTGAACATCAGAAAGCACCTTTGGAAAAAGGATCCCAGGAATTCATTATAGATAGATAGATACTATTAATATTCTAGTGTCAGATTCTAAGCTACAGAACTGGACCTCGAAAGCTTGGAAAGCCAATATCTCTCTCCATGATCAAGCCTTTTCTTTATCTTACCTCCGGTCATTAAAAATCAATCGAGGAGAGCTTCTTATACATGCTGTCAGTTCGGCATGACACCACCTAAAGCCGTAAAAGTCGTAAACCATAAAACCGTAAGGCCTTAAGGCCTTAATGATTGAGATATACTATCACTATATATATATATATATTATATATATATACGTATACAAACAATAATATTTATTCTTATAACGCGAAAACAATTTATTAGGTTATAATAGCTAAAAACTATCTAATGAAAAAAGCTTCAAAATCAAACATTGAGTAATGTCACCACTTCTCATTGATGCTTCTTTGATTACTATTATTTTGTTATTGAACTCATGAAACTCTATTTATTTATTGTAATACAATTTAATCAATATAATTACAGCAACAGATCGATATCTTTAATAATATAAACGGCAGTTTTTTTGTTTACGAATGAGTCTTGACTAACGTTGTTATTATTATCGTAATTCTGGTAACAGCGCTATTGCAAGATGTTATTTCATTGTTTTATTAAAATAAGAAAACTATTTACAGTATGATCTGTTATGGCATTATAGCCTTTGTGGCTATATATCTATAGGCTGTAAATAATTACGACTTGCGATTTATGGATGGCAATACGGCACACGCCGTAACTAATCTTACATTAATTAACGAATGCAGCGTTAAGTGCCTTGATATTACAAAAGATCGCGGATGCAAATCGTGTAATAGTGAAGGAAGGGTTTCTTTGAAGCAATAAGAACATACGAATGTCTGGTATCAGTATCTGATACAATGATGACCAGTCATCAAAAGTCATTTACTCTACATATGTTGCTGATCGTTACATGAATTTATCAAAATCAGTGTCGTGGCGCAACAATTGTCACCATTACTATGAAAAATTTGACTAGTTGCACTTGTCCGTTGGTTAGGACAATAATGAGAGGAAGAGGGATAACAACGACTGTTAATTATTTTTTAAAACCTCCTCAACTTACCATCATCAAACCTGTTATTAAAAATATACGACAAATTTCTACAACAAACCTACAAGACCAAGTCTCTAATGCTAATATCACTTCTCCCACAACCTCATTTACAACCAAGATTGAACAAGAAACAACAAATATAAAAGATAGTAAAGAGGAAACTTCTACTACTGGTTCTTCAAACACTCAACAATCATCATCAAATCCACCAAAAGAATTAAATAAGCCTAAAAATGCATTTACAAAAAGACTAAAAATTATACCTTCAGAAATATCAACAGATTGGTCAAAACCTCTTGAGAAATTGGAGATTCCCATCACTACAAGAAGAAGTATTATAAAATTAATTTTATATATATAACATAAATAAATAGTAATGGATTTATTAATGATGTTTTCGTTATTTATAGTTTATAATGAGGAATTAAGTATTTTTATAAAGATTAGTAATTTACCATTGACTGCAATTCCAAGAGATATTCACAGTTTAACATATGGAATACCTGGATATAATTACGAATTTACTGACCGTAATTATCAAAGTGAGTTTTTTTTGAAAAAAAAAAAAAAGAGTTGTAAATACTTGATAAACAGATATTCGAATAAATATAATTAATATATTAAGGTTTGATTAATTATTAGTATATTTCATTAAAACTGATCATTTCTTACCAACAAGAACAGCAATAGTAAAATTTAGGAATGAAAGATTAGCTGATATCTTTTTCAGGTATAATGAAAAAAAATTTCGTTTTGGTAATCAATTAGAATTGACTTACATTGTACGTATATTTATAATTAATCTATGCAATTATAAATATATGGAGTTGTTAATAATTCTATTTTCTTCTCTTCGTAATATTTCTAGTTACAAAATGAGAAATCAAGAAATAATACTGATTCATTTATGGATTTCCTAAAAAAGAATACGGTTATAAAATATGGACCAACACTTTCACTCTCAGGTAGATTGGTACTAGTCACAGGACTTCCAAAACAAATCAAGATTGCTAGATTAGCTAGTTTTTTTGATGAATCAAATACAAACAAATTCAAGTTAAATGATCTAATAGAAATCACAAGGTATTTATTATTTAAATTCCTTTGTAATATATATATATTTATGTACGTGTTATTGTATAATATATGCTACGTTATTTTATTAAGTTTGATTTTTTTACTTGGTGTAAAAAGTTCAAGTTACAGATATTCAAAATATATTCTTAGATTCAGGAGTATAGATGATGCTTATCGTGCAGTAAGGAAATACCACAATACTTATTTTGATCCAATCAATCATAATGATTTGTATAAAATAAAGGCACAAATAGTTTATTAAATAATAGGATAATTCATTATTGTCATCAATATATATAGAATAAAAAAAGGAAACAATGAGAAGAACACAAAAAATGGTTTATCTAGATTTTTACTAAACAAGGTTTAAAATGATTGAATTAATATGAATGAATCAAAAAGATGTAATCAATTCAGATTCTTAAACTCTTACCTGTAATGCTTCTCAAAACCAATGTGAAACACTGGTATTGACCCTATATATAAATATATATGCACCACTGGGATGTATCAAGCTTTGTAGAGACTAGCCAAAAACCGTCATTGCCTTCTACTCAAAACTAAGGTTAATAGCATCATCTCCCACTTGATCCTTGAGTAGAATAATAGTATTGAATGTAAAATTAGATGTGATAGTATTGGTGATGATGGTGCAAGGTAGATGATGGTGTGAGTTAGATGATGGTGTGGGGTGGATAATGGTAATATTAATTTCTGTGGAATGCCACTGTGAAATGATCAGGTCGATCTCCATTGTTGTTGTACATATAAATAAAGATATCACGTATGTTCCTTGCAGCATTGACATCTCTATTCCACAAAGTCAAACAAACGCTTTTACAAACTTTGAGAGCGTAGATGCGTTGTGGTTTTTGGAAGACACCTTCACATAAAGAACATATCTTAAAAACCAATAGAGAATCAGTGTATTTCTACTATTAAAATCAAACATAACAGGATTGTTTTCAACATTTCAATTATAAATAGATAAATATACCTGACTTGTATAGGCTTCATTTATTAAAAATGTCAGGCAACTGCGACGACATTTCTGATATAAAGCTTTCTTAGGACCTGATGCATGATATTTTGATGATGATGAAAATCCTCCACTACCAAATGCAACAACAACACCAGGATCAAAAACATTACGTGGATTTCCAGTGATACGACAAGCAAGAACAGAAAGGGCTGACTGCTTTCCACAATAATTGTCAAATTTTAAAGAACAAAAACGGCTGGCACCAAAGAACTCTTTAAAGGTTTGATAATTAGAGAGTATAAATTGTAAATGATTCTTAAAGTTATCTTTTGATGATGTTTTTGAAGTAGGAATTTGGTGAATTAAAGATTTGATACCTCGGTTCTTTTATGAAGAAAAAAGTTAATAATGTATATAAAATAAATAATATAAATAGTAATAATGTATCATTATGTATGTATACCTTATCAAACCATTTTTGTCGTTTCTTCCTGTTTCTGGTAAAATTAGCTAAATAATAATATTCTTTGGTTGAGCATTTGGCTGTATTGTCATTAGTGTCAGCTGAAACAAAAAGGTCACGCCTTCCTGGGTCTAAACCAACAACCTTTTTTCCAGTTAGATCTAAATTCCAAAAGTCTTTATTGCTGTTGTCATTGTCATTATTATGAATTGGTTTTTTTATATTTATACTAACAGAAACCCCATCTGTTTCAATATAGCAGCCAAAATTATCACCAAATTGTTCAACTTTGAAAAAACGTGTCCATTGAACTAATGCTTCATCACCAAATTGTGTCTTGTCCATACCATTATTCAGACCAGCTTCAGAAATAATGTCATATAGAGCATCTGTATCAATTGGTATATGACGGGTGGTGAAGGAAAATTGAGGAACCTATGAATGAATGAATCAATGAATCCATGAATGAACAAAACAATGGAATGAATGATGATGACAGTAATACAAGGTTAATATCAAAAGTGAAAATATTATCATTTTTAAAAACAAATATATTTTTTTATATGTAAAAAATTATTAAAAAAACTCACCAGATCAAACAGACGAACTCCGCGTGTGTGAGGATGCTTCTCAAAGCATCGAAGAATATGGTAAAGAGGGGCAAGGTAATAAACCCATGATTGTTCATTACCCATTTCTTCTTTTGTAAGAAGAAGACCTCCAACTACCCGGCGGATTTTGTTAAATATGTGATGGATGCGAACAGCAGAATAAATAGGTATGTGGTGGTGTTTTATTGTTGATTGTGGGATAGTTGCCAGGCCTTGATGGTGTATGGTGAGTAAATGCCAAAGATGATCTGTGATTTGGTTTATTTTGATATTGTGAAGATCACGAAGTTTATATTTTAACCATGATTTGACCCGGTTTTCAAATGTTGTTGATATAAAATTACGGCAGTTTACTATATATGAACATGCTGCTAAGCTTAGTATTTGACCAAGCCTCCTATATTGTTAGGATCAAATAAGGTATAAAAATAAGTTTAAAATAAAGATTATATGATACAGTTCCTAAAATAAAATAAAATCTTACTTTTTTAATGTCCATTGCATCTCTACTGGCCGTTGGATTGCATATTCATTACGAATATTGTTTATGAGATCACATTTGGTATTTGATGGAGTACCATTACTATGAAGTGTTGTTGTTGTTGATTGGAATATTCTGCGAATAAATTGGGAGTCAATTTGAGGTAATTGTTGCAAGTTGTGATTGTTGAAATGATCAAGGATTAACAATTCTAGGATTTTTGCACCTTCATAGGTTATATCATTGACCCGGCAAATTGCAGATTTTATAATTGGAAGCAATTGATCACTTTTTAAAAATTGCTTAAGTTTTTTCTTTATGCATGAAACTTTATATTTAATATTGTTGGTATCTTGCTTTGCCCGCCGCTTCTTATTCAAAGGACACTTTGAGCATGATATACGACTATGGGTGGTGGCTCCACATTTGCATGATTTCTTCTTTGAGTTGTTACCTTCCTCATTCTTACGTTTTTTATTCTTATTGGTGTCAGTAGTGTTGACTGGTGAATTTATTCCAATTTGATTGTGTTGAAGACAAGTTGTATTCACATGATTGTAACAAAGATAATTAAGACATAATCCACAAGCTATGAACACTTGTTCTTCACACATGACACATCTTGATTGTTCCTCCATATATATATATATATTAAAAATTTAGCCAATGAATTAAATGATTAATTAAATAAATACTAACTATTTAAAGGTGATTCAGCTAATAACTGATTAAATAAATACTAATGATTTAGATTTAAAGGTGATTCAACTAATATTATTAACAATTTTATTTCATTTTAGTTAAAAAGCTATTTTTTTATGTTAAAATTTCGAGTGTAATTAGTGTAATTGTTATTGTTATTGTTTATGCAATTGTAATTGTAATTGTTATACATGTGGTCAATCATAAATTTGACGCGTTGATGCAAGACACAATTCGTGATGCAAAACGAAAACGAAATTCGTCATGCAAGACACAATCCATTATCTTACATAAAAAAAAAATACACATTTGGAAATCTTGATTGCAAAAAATGGTTTACCAGAATTAGATTTGGAGGCTCTTTTGGCCAAATTTAACCAATTCCGAATTCTTAATTTTTATTATTATTTTATTTTATTTATTTATATTTTTATAATCTTATTTTATTAGTTTAGTATTATTTTATCCCATAATACATTTATTTTCATAATATGTTTTATTTTTATTTTATCTTTATTTCTATTTTTATTAGTATAATGTCGTAATTTCTTTATAATATTACAATTTTGTACAATTTTGAAATATTAGTACAATTTTGAAATATTGAATTAACTTTTCAATATTGAACGGAAATTTCAATTTTGAAATATTAGAATTATTAATTAATTGAATTGTATATAAGGAGCTTGAATTCAATGTACTTGTAAAGTAACTT